CTCTTCCGGAACACCTGGCTTTATTCTCTGTGTACATTTATAGGAGTCTCTGTGTAAATCCTTCTTTTGTTCATACTTTGCCCAACTTGTATTGAATTCAAGTTTGGATTACGATCATGTTGAGATGTTGGTATTTTCTTGTAGGTGACTCCAGCGTATATATTTATATGTTCAGTGACCTCCTTGTAATTAAAAAGTTAAAAAAAAAGTATAATGGACATTTATATAAGAACGTTTTCTATTGGGAACAATATGACCCTGTTGCCTAGTTTATCACCAATAATATGTTTTGTACCATATAAAACTCTCACTGTCCACCTGTAGTAATAAGTAATAATATTGAAAGGTCATCTGTGATAATACAGTGATTAATTATGAGTTTTCAGCTTTTGATCTCAAAATCAATTAGTTCCATCCCATAACACAACCATTCAATGACTACCAGTAGCTGGCGCCTGTAACCTTCAGTTCGATTGAGTACCGCCAGATGTTAGCTGAAGTTCAGTGACCTTACCTGATGGACACTTGACCTAGACAGCAGCAGCCAGCCACAAGTTAACACACGCATTCCTATCATACCCCACCTTTAGCCATTATATGTAACATGACCTGCAAGTTTATATACCAAGACTTGATGAGCAATATTTCTGTTTTCGTTCAGATCTTTTAGCTATTCTATTTATCTGGGGAATAAATGTTTAACGATTAATATCGAAACAAGCCTCCTTTACCACAACCTGGCTATCATCTTGAAGAGTATGTTAACAGGGACTTGTAACAATGTTTCTAGGGTATTAGGGCTTGTATGGTATACTTTAACTAGGAATGGGGACCATCGAAATAACAGAGTGAAATTCGCCTAAATACAATTTTTACATCTTTGGTTCTAAAATTATTAGAAATAAATTGCCTACAAGGAAAACACGACTTAAAACACAGCAGGATAAATTTAAACATCTTTCGTTCACTGAATGCGTGAAAAGTAATGTCATGTCCCCAAATTAGAACAAGATAAAACAATTACGGAAGCATGGGATTAAGCCATTGAATCAACTACGACATTTTAACACCAGAAGTAGGGGATACAGGGATTTTGCTATTCAGAAATGGAAATTTACAATTTGGAAATTTACCAAAATGTTATTTGAGGAAAAGTCGGGATTGATATGTTACAGAATGTCGGCCTGCAATTGGATAAAACTCTCTTGAACTTGGTTTTATTTCCGAATGCTTCGATTCGTTGATTTTACTTCCCATATTGAGGTTACACAATGAGTCACGATACCAAAACAGACCGGACAAAACATGACATTGTGCATAGGATAACTTGTAAGATTTCTATATCTCTCATACGAGAAACACCAAGTTCAAATCATTCTCCGCATGAGAACATGTAGTTTTTTTAGTCTCGTGTGACCTTGCTTCGATCAGAACAAAATAGTTGAAATATTTGACCTGAAATTTCAGTATTACCGCCTACAGTTTTGAGCTTACCTTACTTTATGTAACTATATACAGTTTTACATTTATAGTATCGTACAATGCATCGAAAATTCCGCACATTGAAATATTGTCAATGCATAGTTCACACATTGTGTAACATCCACACGGTTGTATCACATTATAGAACAGCACAATCAGACAATTTGGTTACAACTGGTCTGTCAATATTACGAACTGGAAGAAATAAAATCTAGTGAAAAGAACGTTATCAACGTTGATCAGTGACGAGGGACTTTATTAGTGATTTTATAGAAACAATCAAAACATAGCTGCTTGGCATGCGTTAGTTGACTTGTATTCTCACATTTCACACCTCAACTAGGGATGCACGCGAAACTGGATGAGAACATGTTTCTTTTTCTGCCTATTTAGAAAAATAAGTTAACGTTCACGAAAAATGAATTCAAATGTTAGGGCTGTATGTGAAAGTCTCTGATTTGTGTTTAAAATGTGCAGTAGTTCATTAAGCATTTACGTCTGGAGAAAATTCAATGAGCAATATTGGGCCATTCCTACCGTCCAAATGTTTACTCTTGGCAACGTGAACAATTCAATGATTAACATATGTTTATATAAGTTTTTATGTATAAATAGAATTGATAATATGAAAGATGTTTAGGATACAATTTTTTTATGTCACCGCCCACTTATTATTTATTACATTGCATAACATAGCACGATCCTACTTACTGTTACGAATGTAAGAGAAACAGCGGCGACAGACGATATGACATAATGTATATATTTACGGTTCGTATTTATACTTAAGAGACATGTACTTGTATCCATTTTGACATCATTAGCAATACTTTGTCTTAACTTCATTGGACAATGACCTTTTCATCTCTTTATTGAACATTTGACTTTCAACACAGAAAATTACTTAATTAGTAAATTGATGCTACTGCCTCGTGTTTGCTGTGAAAAGAATTCGTTTAAAATCTATTATCAGAAGATACTGAATGAGTTTCAAAACTGTTGTGATGTTCACTTTTCAGACTTGAAAATTGCTTCTGTAGTCAGTCTGTTACCGATTCTACACAATTTCTTAATTGAGTTTCTTTCTCATTGTTCTGGAACACATGGTAGTAATTGGATAATGGATAGAAAGAGTGAACATGTTTACATCGCCATTATTTTCTTTGATAGTCTTTCTGCATCTAGCTAACACTACTACTCTATTACGTTCGAAATGCGGGTGCAAGTTATAAGGAATACTAGGTTGATGGGTAAACATGTTAACCGTCAATTAGTTGATCAATTTGAAGTAACCTTGTTGAGACCAAAGTACAATTTATATCTGGGAAAGTTTTCATATCTGTATATAAACCAATTAAAAAAATATCTGATGAAATGGATAGAATGAGTCTCCGAAACGTCATTCGCTGATGAAAGTGCCACATCGAGTCATTTACTGATGGAATTGACTGAGCCAATACATTACCTTATTGGTTGTTCTGTATGCAAATTTAATCACTTATTTACTTAAAATCACATGGAAAATGTTTCATATCAATTAAAGTTTACTTACGAGGCGAAAACGCTGACTGGTATATTGACTGAAAGTACATTGTGTAACCGAACTTTTATTTTTTCCATTGAACTCTCGCTTTGTTGTGGACATTCCATGATCTGCACTGTCCTCAGACATTCTGTTAGTATGGAATCTTACGTTGTCATGAATATCCTTTAGCTTCAAATATGTCAGATATTTGGATGACATTAATGCAACTTCCAGATATACTTAGACTTTGTCTTAATTTTCCTGTGGAAATGTTTTAAAAGCTGTTTATGTTATCAGAACGGAATTAAGGCAATTTCGCAGAAAAGCAATGTATATATATTTGATTTTATCTGTTGAATTTAATTTCTGTAAATAGAATTACGGTTTACATGTACTTTTAAAAACTATTAAAGTAAACTACAGTATGAGAATCTTCATTGATTCCTTTCTTGTCTTGTTCAGAGCACACTTAACATCCAATTACTGCATGGTTTATGGGCTACCATTTGTGAGGTGCCCGTTTGTTAAACCTATATGGCGGAGCCCAGCTGTCTGCAGAGTTGGTAAAGCTAACTGCTGTGAGCGATAATGAGCTAGACACCTTCTCTTACGTATACAAACATAATTTTAGCAACAGGATGTTACACAGGTCGGAACCTTAGAAAACAAAAACGAATTGAACAAAAGAATCTTGAATAACCTCATCTGTATATTGTTAAACTTGACCTAAGATTGTACTAGTATTGATAGTTATTTTGTTTCATAGTCTACGAAAAACAGCAAACATTTTTTATATTTAAAACTTGTGCATTGAACACAATTTATGAAAAAGTCGAGAAAACATCAGGATTTATGAAAAAAACAAAAACAATATGACACCTTGGAACAACGAACTTATATTCGATTTAAGAAGGCATTCCATATGCATTAGTAAATGGAATACGCCAATACCAGCAAAATAAAAAGGCAATTGTGACCTGGTTGTTGGGAAGGGTTCATTCCGAATGGTTTTAGGACATCCTGTATTCTGGAATGCCTCTGTTTAATTTTCGCACATGAACAGGGAGAGCTGATTAAAGACATGTGTTACATTTATGTCTTCCTTTTATATAATCCTCAGAGGGCGAAATTTACAATGTACAGTTAAGTTACAAAGGTATGGCCACCTTCACAAAAGCCCAATGCCAGATACTTAGTAATAAGGCGTGTATATTTTAGAAACGCATGAATGTTGCATTCCTTAAGCTTGCTGGTTTTGATGTTTTTGTAGGATTTTCCTATACCGGAGAACATCTTTCATTTATTATTCAGCTCTTTAAGATGTGTTTGGAATGGTAGATCATTTCTTGCAAAACACCATAAAAATTGTTAGGTTTTGTCGACATTGTCATTGAAATCTTGTTTATTTAGCCCCAAACGTTCTCATTTGGATTCAAATCTGGACTAGATTGCCAAGACAATTGATGTTTCCCGATGTTCTTTCGGAAAAGCGCTGATGAATCTAGAATAGTAATATTTGGTCATATTTGAATTGATATTGACATCAATTGCTTATCTATGATAAAACATACTAAGGATTAAAATCAAGCAAAATGTGTATTAACAGATGAACATTTAGATTGCATAGGCTTCCAGAAAGCAAGTTTATATGCAAAATAAACTGTCATATATCAAATTTTTTAGCAGGAAAAGATGTATGTGGCAGATTCAAACTAAAATACGCATGTTTCAAATATCTGCCTATAAATACTTTGTGATTGCGTTACGTGTTACATCTGATAAGTGGCGTTTCTGTTGCAACTGACCTGTATGTACAATATGTAACAGTGTCCGTTACTTTTAGCATTCGTTTCTGATGTATTACATTGATGTATACATGTATATGATATCATCGTTTCGTCTTGAAGATGTAGATGCAGATGCGTGTATGTCGGGAAACTAAATGGGTGATTTACTTGCTTTGATGATTCTAGCATAGATATTTTAATTTCAGACACCAAAAGAGGCAGTTCAGCAGGTCATTGATGCTGATGTTCACGTGGTAGGGGTCAGTTCATTGGCCGCCGGCCACAAGACTCTTATTCCGCAACTCATTGAAGAACTGAAAGACATCGGTCGATCGTACGTATAAAAATTTCCTCCATAAAACGTTTTTGTAAAATTTTGATCCACATGACAATGGTTTTGACCAATGAAATTTTAAAATACATTTTATTTAACTCTGAATATGAGATAAAACCAAAGGTACTTAATACATTTTAGCACTAGATAATTATCAGTACAAACAATTTTGTCGGTGTGAAATAAGAATCACTTTGTTAGCAACCTACATAACGTAATCAGAGGCGTTTAAAGTGTCTTTATTTCTTATTTAGATTCAAAATCTATTTCTTTCAGGGGCACTCATCATATTTATGATCTTATCAAAAACGTTCCAGTACCTAGTGCTTAGAGATCACTATTTTTAAAACGGTAGATCTCTTCTAACATCCTTGTAATCTACAACGTTCCTGTAGTATGCTCTAGGACACTCAACTTGAACATAGTACTAATAAACCTCGGACAGCGTCTCCTATTTTGAATATCTCAAGGCTTTTCCTAATTTCATACTCGAAAAAATTTCCATTAGGTTTGCTGTTACTGGTGATTGCGTTGCGATTCTGCTCTGACCTAGTAGCCCATTGCTTGGCCTGCTGGTAGGAGAGTAGTTGTAGGTCACGGATCAGTAAGAGCACGTTTTCTCATCATTACCCCAAGGCTTCTGCATGATTTTGTTCCTAATAGTTCTAACAGTATCATATGTAAATGTAGCGGTCGGCCTGTTCTGGGTATCACGTTGTTTTAACCTTTGCTCTCCTTTCTAGCAAACCTATTTGGAATGGTCTGAATACTGAACATGTATTTTAAGCAAAGCTGATTGTCTGCTAGGTAATCTGGCGTCAGGTTTATGACGGTTCTAAATCTTATTGACAGTCAGGAAAGTGAGGATAAACTTTCATATTTATCATGAAACTGTGAATAGAGCTGAGTATGGTTTTTGGATTGAAATTGTTTCTTGCTTTCACTTTCTAGTTTGATCGATTGTGCATAAACGACTTGAACCATATTACGCTTTCATAGAGTGAATTAGACTTGTAACTGCTTGTGAAAGGTTACCCTGACCTATTTCACTTAATTTCTATTGTAAACGTTTCAGCAGAAAGTACTCTTAAATCGAGTTCCACAAAAAATACTCTACCAAAGACATAGGGAGAATTTTACAAGGAAAGAATCGTAAAAAGTAGACATGAGTCAAAAACAATTTTCAAAATGAAATAATAGAAACCCGTTTTTTTCTTTGTTGCCTATTTTAGTGTGCACAATATGGTATCATAGTAATCACATTTGTTTCCATTGTTTCAGGTTTATAGACACATTGACTGCATTTCTGTTGCAGCTGTGGCAATTTTCAGATATTCTTGGGACTTGAAATACAGTATATGTTCCATATTACGTAAAACACTGCTTCATATTATGTACCTTTGAGCGGTCATAAGCCTTCCTTAGATATTTTACGAGAACGAAGCGCTGTCCTGTCAATTATATCACATTCATTTTTCAGTGATATTTTGGTGATCGCTGGTGGAGTTATCCCTCCACAGGACTATGACTTCCTGTACGAAGCCGGAGTTTCACAAATATTTGGACCAGGTTTGTAAAAATAAAAAAAAAACGTAATTTTAGCAAAAATTGTAATTCACGCGGAAGGAAAAGTTAATTTGTATCAAACTATGAAGGTAGAAAATTTGCATATATGTTAGTCTGTCTAAGAAACAGCTAAATAAGTCAATAATTCAAGTCTTCTAAAATATATGGCTTGAATTATGTTGCAAATCTACCGATTCATCATATCTTTCTCCAACAATAGTTTCAATTGTTTACGTGAATTAGAGATGTTCAGCTCATCACGTTTATCTCAAGGATAAATATTTCAAAACTTCAGTCGCTTAATTTACGTCGTCCATCTTCATTGTGCTTTCATTTGTTTAATGCAAGCTAAATTGCCTGGATTTTTTAAAGGAAGGACAATGATTACCGATTTCGTGGATATTACTCCTGTCTAACTTTGTTGAAATGATTTGTATCATCTGCCATCGTAGTGAGATAATGTAACGAATTCTTTGTTGGTATGGTAATTTTCCTTAACGAGTTACTAGATCTAGATGACATTATATCCGTACCGCCTTCACGTTGTAATAATGAAACATTAACTTGGTTCATTTTATGTTGTCATAGGAACAAGAATCCCTGACGCTGCTGAGAAGATCGTTGATGAATTGCTGAAGAGAATGAATTGAACATTTAAAAGATGAGAGAGTGTGTTAATATCATTTGTATGACATGGCGACCATGAATCAGTGGCCGCTGTTTTGTGGATCAGAGGACTTTGTAATTTATTTAGGCGTGCTGTGGACGGGATATTTGTCAGCTAAATGACGTTTGAGAATACGTTGAATTTCCATATTCTACACGCGACACGCGTTTCAAGTACATATGTATCACTGAAACGCTAGAAGGATGTATGTATCATTTGGTAATTCACAGACAGATAATACTCCAAAGCAGTTTTAAATGTATAATATGTATGTAATATGCGAATATTTAATTTTATGAAAGAATTCACTTTTCAGATATATGAAATGTCATAAAAATGACGTACAATGTAGTGATTTAAGCACAGCGTTTTATGTTTGTGTCAAGCTGATAAGTGATAAAAATAAGTAATGTTTTTGGGCGTCACTTCGTTGACTTCATTGAAGTCATGACATGAAAGTTTTGAAGACCGATGAAGAACATTAAAAAAAAACAAGAATATGCCAAGATATCGACAGAATCACATCCCAAACTCTTATTCAATAAATTCAGGACAACATATGAACCAAAGAAAGATTTACACGAAGACTTCTGAAATAGTACAAGGAGAATAAGACAAGGTGCTGCGGAAACTGAAACGACACACACGGTGTAAATATTTGTCAATCTAAGTCACGTTCACCATTGTAAAAAAAAAAAACAGCTGAACAAACAGAGAAATCTAATTATAATGTAAATGACAAGACAGTTGTATCGAAATACAAAAACGTCTGAAATCATTTCAAGTTTTCGTGTAATGCAAGTGCATATTAAGTGTCATGTAAACATATACCGACATACGTTTACATTTTCAAAGGAACAATTTAATATAATTATGATACAATTGCGACGTAAAATAATCAAATTGGTATACACAGTGGTTGTTTTGAAGATTTCATTTTGTGAAATCTCATTTCGTTAAAGTAACTACAAACCAATCCCTTTTGTCACTACGGAAATATAATCACGGATAACGCCATTAACTTGTACATATGGTTCGATTTATATTGACTTCTGAATTCTTTCAAACTTAAATGGAAATAATGTTGTTTAAAACGTCAAAATTGAGGAGTATACTTGTGATATTTGTTGTAAGCAAATGACGACAAGATCGTGATACCCCCGTCACAACTAAGTTATCGTAATTAAATCCCAGACATTAAGCATACGAACAAACTATAAAAATGAGATTCGTGTAAGTTAAAACGTTAAACCCAAATTTCTAGATTAGTTTCACAGTATTTTGCTGAAGGAGGAAAGAATCAATTAGTAATCGTTTAATTATGTTTCAAAGGTTTGATTAAAGTTTTCTTTGCTCTTGTCGTCCTTTCCATTGTAGTCGGACATAAACTAGAAAATATGGCAGAGTGTCCTGTCTGTTTTCGGGTTTTACACTGCTAAAGCAGCGTATCAAAGACGAATGCATGGTCTCTAAAACTTCCTCTTTTGGCCTGTTTAGGGTTTATGTGTTATACATCACAAGATGTATTTGATTTTAATTGCCTTGAATTCTTGTTGGTGAGATTCTGAATAAAGTATGTAATACATGTACATTTTGGCATGTTTTGTGTCAAATAAAATGAAAAAACAGCAAGTCTGGATGTTACTTGTCTTATCGAATGGTGTATTGCTATTTTATAGTTGGTTATAAATTCAGAGTATGATCTTTTATTTTGATTAGTTTTATAGGGTCTCTAACGAGTTTTCATTTCACACGAGATGTTATAGGACAAGTCTAAGAAGTTTTTTTTATTTTTTCGAACCTTGACGTTATTATAAACCTGTGTTCTTCAAAGATATCATATGTGTCTGTCTGTTAGTATATTACCAATGCCAATTTTATCGTCATAAAAAGTTCAATATCTTATCATTCTTGTCCATAATATTTTACTGTACGAATGCAAATACTTATATCGAACGACTTAAACCCAAAGTGGTAGCGCTTTTATTATAGTGATTACAAGGGTAACTTCCCATGTTTCGGTCATTACAACAGCTCCCTTCCTGTAGTGGTCACTACAACAGCTCCCCTCGTATAGCGGTCACAACAGCTAACTTCGTGTAGCTGTCACAACAACAGCTTTCTTCATTTAGCGGTCACTACAACAACTCCTTTCGTGTAGCGGTCACTACCACAGCTTCCGTCATGCAGCGGTAACCGGAACAGTTTCCTTCCAGTAGCCGTCACAACAACAGCTTTGTATATGTAGCTGTCACTACAACAGCTCCCTTTATTTAGCGGTCACTACAACAGCTCCTTTCGTGTAGCGGTCACTATAGCAGCTTTCTTCATTTAACGGTTACTACAAAGAGTCCTTTCGTGTAGCGGTCACTACAACAGCTTCCTTCATGCAGCGGTCACTACAACAGCTTCCTTCATGCAGCGGTAACCGCAACAGTTCCCTTCGTGTAGCGGTCACTACAACATCTTCATGTACCCGTCACTACAAAACTCCTTTCGTGTAGCGGTCACTGCAACAGCTCCTTTCTTGCAGCGGTTACTGCAACAGATGTCTTCGTGTTATTGTCACTACAACAGCTCCCTTTATTTAGCGGTCACTACAACAGCTTCTTCCATGTAGAGATCACTATAATGGCTTTCGTGTCGCGGTCACTACCACAGCTTCCTTTATGCAGCGGTAACCGCAACAGTTTCCTTCGTGTAGCGGCCACTTTCAATGCTCCCTCCTTGCAGCGATCACAATATTTCTAATGACCCTCTTGCTGCAATAAATCGCTTGGGAACGCGGGACTTCTCAAATTTTGTAGAAAAGAGCATGAGCCCGATGATATAAATTGTCTTTTGTTGTAGAGTTGTATTTAGATGATAATTGAAACTGGATAAAGATATTTTGGACACTGTTTGAATAGATATTTCGGATCTATTGCCATGTACGTGACATTCCTAGAAAGTATTTATCATCAATACAGGGTTTTACTGGCATTGTAACATGTAACAGAATAAATACTCTCTGTTTACAACTCTAACGATGCCCTTTTACATAACGCACGACATACACACCAACAAATCCCATTATCTTTGACAAATAATGATAGATTATTGATGAAAACCGTACGAAATGACTTAAAATGTGCTGAATGTCTTCTTTGACAAAAGATCAGCTCTCTAGGAAATGAAATCAAGAGAAAGAAGGATGGTACGCGACGGACTGTCTCGGGATTAACTCTTTATTTTCTACTCTATAAAAAGAAAACATGACTTTCACTTTAGCAGATTGCAGTACATCAAGGAAATGAGTATTTTTTGGTTTCAATATTATACAATCATTGTTGTAAACCTGTCTAATCGGGGAATATGTCGGATGGTTGAGTAGACATCATGGTGTCGGAGTAAGCAGCGGCCAACTTCAGGCCAAAGTCTCCTACTTACATACTTCATACCTCTTACTTTATATATATAGCAGAAAATCCTTGAGAAGGACTACATTTTCTCACTTCAGGGTCACAAAAAGAGTTTGTTTTTATTTAGATAGAATTTCGAAGGTTTACATAGATATTGCAACAAAATTCAGTAAGATGAATGATTATACGAAAGGACAGCAAATCTGAAATAAGATACAGTCACGAAAAAAAAGATAAACTGCAACATCCAGCTGATTGCTTCTAGGTCCCATCAGTAATGAACTGGGCCTAAACTATCAGGTGACCAAAAAATCCAATTTAAAATTACTGATAGGTGGTTTTGTCCTCCACTGAGCTCCAGGATCAATACCGTTCCTAGTAAGGAAGGACAAAAAACAGGCGAATATCATGGAAAGTAATGAAATGTTTACTTAAATTCATCAAATTGGACGAACGACTTCGCTAAATCCAGAGAAATCACAATGAACACATGGTGCCTTTGAAAAGGCAGTACATTCAGTGTTGTAATATATATGTCACCCGAAGGAGTGTCTCGTTCAAATTGGAAGCCAGGACTACGAAACCATTAGGAACGCATATCAACAGTGTAAACCCTTGTATTGTATGAACAGTTGATACAATACAACATTGCCGTTTTGCTTAAAGAAAACAGACGAAATGAAGTCAAATATTGAAAAGTGCATTGAAATCATTGATATCAGAGGTCGGTCAATTTCAGTCCAGTTCGAATTATGACAGGAGTTCAAAATAAGAAACGGGGTAGCGAGAGTTGAACATTAAGATATAACTGCTTTCGTCGAAAACCTCCATTTTCTTTCTTTCGATAAACTCGTCGAATCGATCGTATTTAAGCGAATTCTTCACCGCCAAGGATATCGCTTATAGATCAGATGAAAATACATAATTCTTATTTTTTATCCCTAATTATTAATGTTTGATATAACAAACAAGTGAATTATTGACAATATTATTTTAATGTAATGCAGAGATCGATGTCTAATTCGTCAATAATAATATCAAAGAAACATCGGTTATCGGGGGTTGTTATGACACTGCATCGTCAGTCTTTCACAGATCATCCGCATGATCAATCTGAATGAGAAGCAATGTCGATTAACCTAAGTGACATGGGATTAACTCGAGGACAAAAGATGCTATAAACGGTGCAACATTTTGCACAAAACACTTAACGTTCCGGTACACTTTCTTTAATCTGGCGCTTTGTTCCTATTATCAATTTGTACCACTATTGAGTTACGTGCTGCTATTTTGGGTAATGTCACTGTTTTGTTTTTAGAGTCTTTTGTAACGGATTTTATAAGATAATGTACTGAACATTCTTGCCGTCAGCACTATTAAGGTTAGGACGGATTGCTGTCGGTAGTCATGATTGACCATCTCCTAACGCCTGGTTAGCTGAGATATACAAATCTCCATGGTTATATAGTACAGGTCTACTTCCAGCAGCTGTTTCGTGTAGGTGTATTAATACGTGCCTCGGATAAAATTTTAGCGGATCAAATCAGAATTGATATTAAGCGACTGGTCAATTTGTGATTCTCTTTAAGAGAATTAGATGTGGTCCCTTGCATCCGGTATGATATGGATGGACTTGAGGTATTAGATACCTTCACGTATTTTCAATAAAAGCTTGCATAGAAGACACCCTCGTGACATTAGATGTTAATAAGAAACAAATGCTATTAATAATAATGTGTCAGTATCCGTGAAAGGAAATTAATTAAAATCTGTTGTCAATTTTTAAAAATATATGGCTTTGTTTAGATTTCGCATAAGGAAACTAGTATATGATGACTTAGCTTTTTCTGTCGTTATTGTCTTGGTATTGTGTCTTTGATTACCTTTCGTCTCCGTTGCTTGGTGAACGCGTTTGTCATCTATAATAAAGTACCAACAATTCATCGCTAAGTAACTACTGAAAGTACTGCTTTACCATGAAAGGTAGACACAGTGCCATGTCGATTTTGCTGTTCTCACTGGGGCTAGATTTATGGTGATAATTTTATGGCGAAAGTAAATTGTTTTGATATGTGTGGAAGATATAAGCATTTTAACAAAATATTTTCAAGATAAATTTGATAAAAACAAAGTAAAAAAACAAAAAAGGAAGGCCCTGCCTTCAAAAGACAAATAGGGAAATAGGACTTAGTCGCTCAGTAAGACAAATATCTTCAGCTTCATTCCCAACACGAAACACGTAAATCTTAGTCTTAATAGGTGATCGTTAGTGTCAATCTTAACTTTGCTTATATTTTTTTTCTGGTTTTTCATTAATTTGAATTATGTTTATGTTCACATGTTGGCATTTTCGTGTTCCTGAAATGCGAAAAGCTGTTAAAACAAAGGAAACAATGTATGCTAAAAAAAACTCCATATAATTTGGTATCCCACCAATTTATAAAATCCTTCGCTGCAAAAAACAAAGTAAATATCGACATGCCAAGAAAATTCAAATTCAAATGCGATAAAACTAGAGCAAACTATGAACAAAAATGTACATGGCAACCCTCGCAAACGGTTCAGTGATAACAAGGCTATATGTTCCGGAAGAATAAGCGTCTTTTGCTTTATCAACGACCCAGTCATGTAAATCTTGATCAATCGTAGTAAGCAATGTCATGTGCCCAGATAAGAGCAATAGCGGAAATACCAGCCAAGCTACACATTAAAAGCATACAACACTTCCTACTTTATACTGCACAAGGAAACAACGGAGCTGTAGAGTACGTATAGCGAACGTCGGAAATCGAAATAATTCAGTGTTATTGGTATTAGAACTAAACCTTACAGACAAACACGTGTTGCGTGTTGTTCAAGCGTATAACTAATTTTGGTATGGTACTTATGAAAATTAATCGGATCTTATTTGACCACGGATATCTTGCCCTCGAAATTCCAAATGTTAAAGAGATCGTAAATGGAATGCATAGAATTATAAAGATATGCAGGAAATAAATGTGTTTCTAAGATAATTTCTCAACTTTTGTTACCATTGTTTCACAGTGAAAAATGTTATTTCAGAGTAGAAGTAACAGTTGTTCACTAAGTGATACACGCTGGATGTTGAGTAACAATGCCCCCTATTTATAATTACTTCTTGTAAAACTAACCACAAAAAACGGAATGCAATTCAAATAGACCTCGTGCCAAGAGTAACCTCCTATTTTATGTCATTAACCAATAACATAA